GAGCAGGGAACCCGATGCGGGACTCGATCCCGGGACTCCAGGATCATGACCTGAGCCGAAGGCAGTCGCTCAACCAACTGAGCCACCCAGGCGCCCCCAGTTTCATGGCTTTTATCTGCTCAAAACCAAAGAGTATAGGAGTATGTCAATCACACCATCTTCATATATTTGTTTAAAAGGACACCATAGCCATCTTTCATCTTGTCGCTAGGAGCAAGATGATATTTCAAATTACACAGATCTCCTTCTCTTGCATTTTGGACCACATTAGAAATGGAAATAAGAAAAGCTCTCTCCCTGCCATATTTTACAATGGAACTGAGCTGAGTAACACAGAAGCCTCTTGACTATGGGCTCCAGATTACAGCCGCCAAGGAAGAAAGTTGCAGCCATTCATGTTTGAGGTGATAGACCATAGGGGCTGTTCATTCTGAACTAATGGAGCATGGCGGGTTGGCACTTCAGAGATTCACTCCTCAGGGAGGTCTGCCCTTCTATTAATCATAGATCTTTTGGAGCTATCGATCCAGGAATGCAAAGAAGCTGCTAAACACTAAGCCCATCTTGTTCCCCTCAAGTTGATGCAGGTTCCTGGAAACATCCCTTCGTTTCCCCATCTCCCCAAAGAGGGAATAAGGTCTATTAAAAGTGATCCCCAAAATGTGAGTGACATAATTAGTAACTCTAAAATGTACCTTGATTCAAAGCCAGGGCAGGGGCATAAATAACAATTCCAGTATACAGAATCTATGGGAAAAAAGAAACCAAATAAACTGTATGAATTATAAAATAAATTATCGATTTTTTCTATAAACTCAACAATGAATTAAAACAGTAGTTTCAATATACTTAATGAAATATGTTTGTAACTTGAAAATGTTATTTAAGTAAAGTTAATTCTCCTTTTCTGTTTGTGGTGTGGTCATAGGTTACAAAAATCTTTTATGACCAATTTTGTTAAAATTATGGACTTTTCACACAGTGCTTAAAGCAGATAGTCACTGATCTATCACCTCAAACTTGAAATCAATTCTCCTCAATCTAAACAATTAGAATGAAAGAAAGAATACAAATTTAAAAGGAGATGGTCCCTCATTCATACACTTTCAAACTATTATTAATCACTGCATAATTAACTGGGAAAACTGAAAATTTTAGAAACTGGTTTTAAAACGTTTGCATGCTCATTTATTAAACAAAAGTATAAATTTGCACTAAAAAAATCCTGAAAGCCAACAAAAACTGTATTCCATCTTTTGTATATGTTATTTTTCACTCATACACCTAACAAATATTTATTAATCCAGGGTACAACAGTATGAAAAATATGGTCTTTTTTCTCAGAACATCATTTTTACTGCACTTGATCTTTCAAATACATCATATATATTCTATGTGATTTGTTCTATAAAAATGTATTATGATTCTATGATTTTATGTTTATTCTATAAAAACATATTATGAAAAAAGCCATATTATATAGTATTTGAATGCCTGATTATATTACATGGGTAGATCAATGGAAGTAAGTCCTTCAAGTGGGAGATGCTTTCCTCTTTTTTGCAAGAATGAACCAGACTTCCACAGTCATTATCCTGACCAAGTTGAAGATTTGAAAACATGGCCATGTACCATCTTCCTAACACTTGTTCCCCACTTCCCATTTCTGTAGGCATTTCTAAAAATGATCCAAAGAGGGTCTGAACAGTTGATAAATGCAAGCTACGAGGTTCAGTTCTTTGGCAGGATCTTTACCAAACCCCAAAGGGCTCCTTCCTTTTACATTGGAAGTGTTAATGACCAATTTAAGTTATGCAATTTACAGAGACATAAAACGGAGTCAAGTTAAATAATTTACAAAGGTACTCTGTTACGCTTTTGCAAATGCTTAGGTAGCTTGCCATTGGAGAAGAGAATTACAAATAGGGATGAGAATGAAAACTCCTTCCTGGACCTCCATTATCAAACCCATCCCTAAAGCACTCAGCTGCCAAGAGGAGGATCAATGTAAATGAAGTGACAACCATCATGACAAGCCTCCAGCAACCTGAATGAAGAACGGAAAATAATGACAAGGGCTTTCCCTTTTTGGTTTCCTCCTATTTTCAACACCTCTTTTTTATCTTTCATGCATTTACCAAATAAGCTTAGCCCAGATGCCTTGGCTGAAAACATTTTAGACAACAAAAGGTAAAGCAAATTAATGGAGAGTGACTTACTGTTTGAACAATGAAGAGGACTGTTCCACAGAGACGGACAACTTTGTTAAATCGGAGCTCTAAATACTGTTTCCAAAAAAGGAAGAAATGGTTACTATGTGAAAACTTTATACACTTTTCAAAAATCAGCTGCTTAACAAGTAAAGGGGTTAGAAATTTAAAGGAACTTCAGTCATCAAAAAGAATGAAATCTTGCCCTTTGCAACGACATGGATGTAACTAGAGGGTATTTGCTAAGCGAAATAAGTCAGTCAGAGAAAAACAAATACCATATAATTTCACTCATGTGGAATTTAAGAAACAAAACAGATGAACATAGGGGAAGGGAAGAAAAAATAAGATAAAAACAGAAAGGGAGGCAAACCATAAGAGACTCTTAACTACAGGAAACAAACTGAGGGTTGCTGGAGGAGAGGTGGGTGGGGGGATGGGGTAACTGGGTGATGGGCATTAAGGAGGGCACTTGAAGTAATGAGAAGTTATATGCAGCTGGTGAATCACTAAATTCTACCTCTGAAATTAATAATACACTCACTATATGTTAACTAAATTGATTTAAATTTAAAAAAGAAATTTAAAGCAATTTCATAAATGTTTGTATTCTGTATTCCCACGTTGCTACTATTTTTCTTTACATAAAGCAAAATTACTCTTGCTTTAAAGTACAGTTCATTGGGTTTTAACACATACAGGACAGTTCCAAAACCCTCAGAGAACTCTGTTACGTTGTTCCTTTGTGAACTCTCCCCCAACCCCTAAACCTTGGCAATCATTGATCAACTGTTCTCCATCCCTAGTTTTGGCTTTTGCAGAATATCATCTAAATGGATTATATTCTGCAATTTTAAAATGAGCAAAGTGCTGTTCTCCCCTTTCTCTTGGCATCTACTTCAGACATTTCCCTGATTCACTTGGGAATCAGCCCTTTCCCACTGAAGGCAATTGTGATAGAATTGTCTATCAAGGTGCCCTGCCTCTTTTGACTAGGGGGTGGTCACCTGACTCAGCTCAGCCAATCAGCTCCTCTCTCCAGTGGATATTTGGATCTTGGAGGTATAATATAAAGGCAGAAAATGATTGGAGCAGAAGCAGACTGATCTGACAGTGGCCTGAAGAGGCTTCCCTGGCTTCTGTCCTTTTCACAGCCTATTTGTTCAGCTCTTCACTCTGTTCTATGGGTTACCCATATATCCTCCCAAATAAATGATTTTTTACGTAAATTGGCCTAAGTCAGTTTCTGTTCAGATCCAAAACCCTGCCAATTTTTCCTACTCTCCTTGGCATCTGCTGTATCTTAAAATATAGTCGACCCATCTCCTATATTATATGTCATAATATAGAGTTAGAATCATAGAATTTTAGAGCTGAAAGGAAGCTGGGGTCTCAAACATTCTTTAACTTGAATATTATTACTCACGTAGGGAGAATTTTAAAGCTGAAAACAGTCTTTATACCAGAAAAAAAAAGAGGAAAAACTGACATTAATAATCTGGGGAAACGACACTAGATATTTTTGCTCCAAAATCACAGGTAACAGTTATAGAGTACTTGCTGTGTACACTGTCCTCCCAACAACTCCCTGAGGCCAGTACCACCTGTTACGGGGGAGGGCACCGGGGCTCAGAAAGAACACCAAAGCTGCAACCTAATAGCTCTCAGAGCCACAATGCAAGTCTAGGACCATTTAATGCCCAAATCTGGGCAGGGAACAACTACATTATTCCACATAAATAAGTAAGCTAACTAACCATGGCTTTGAGTGAGTAGGTGGCACTGATATATAGTAACACCTTCTGAAACAACTGAAACGTAAAAAATATGCAGCACAGTATAGTTTTGGGGAGGAGTTCCAGCCCTCAACCCAGTCCTACTTGTAACTGCACAAGCTTGGGGCAGTCACTGAAGATCTTAGGCTCCTCCTCTTAAAAATGAGGATCACAGTATTAACTCTTTCCCCTCTTACTTTGCAGGGGTTTGGAGACTACTGAATGATATAAATGGATGGGGAAATATTATAAACTGTTATTCAAAACTAAGACATTAAGAAGGTGGTATTCAAATCCACAGATAAATATAATTCACAATTATAAGCATACATATATAGGGCTCCTGGGTAGCTCAGCTGGTTAAGCGACTGCCTTCGGCTCAGGTCATGATCCCGGGGCCCTGGGATCGAGTCCCACATCGGGCTTCCCTTGCTCTGCGGGGAGCCTGCTTCTCCCTCTCCCTCTGCCTGCCCCTCTCCCTGCTTGTGCTCTCTCTCTGTCAAATAAATAAATAAAATCTTTAAAAAAAAAATAAGCATACATATATATTCATAAATAAATAAATATAATCCACAAATATATATATAAACATATATATTTATATACACACATATACACACGCACACACACACACACACACATATACACACGCACACACACACACACACACATATTCTGGACAACTCAGTTCCAATACACAGATTACATAGATCCAGAAAGATCCCGAAAAAGTGGGGAATGAAACTGGATTCCTGCATTATACTTCTTATCTGTGGGTCTGGAAGTGGCTAAACACCTATCAGGCCTATACTTTGAAGGCAGGGATAAATAGATAATAAAAATGCTTCTGAACAGTCAATTCTAGCTTAAGAAATGTAAGTAGGAAGAGATTTCATATTTGAGCAAGAATGCCAGGGTATCACTCAATGCTGGACTTCTTATTCTGTCTAGATGTTTCCACCTCTCAGCATAAAACAAAAATTGCTCACAAGAAAGTGTTTGCTATGGCCAATTGTCAGGGACAAAGCATGTTATCTAACTTCCCTGACCCCCCACTGCTGGGCATCCACCAGTCATGGACACCCCCAGCATGCTCACAACTCTAGGTGTTTTGTTCTACTTCTCTTGTTCTCTCTGCACTCTTCTAAGCCCCGCCCAAGGATATAACAGACTTACCAGAGCCTTCAGAAGCAGCCAGTAGGCACCACTGCCTAGCCTCCAGGCATGTGTCTACTTTGCCTCATACTCTCTTATGTAGCTTAACTTTGTCTGCAACATGGGGCTCTCATAGTACCTCCCTTATAAGGATTGTTTTGAGTATTGAGACAGATAATGTGTGTATGTAAAACATGCAGCCCAGCACCACACATGTATTAAGCATTTGGTAAAAGTTAACTTTTTGCCATTTTTAGCTGGAACCCTGCTAACAGCCTCCACCGCGAGAAACGTGTGGGAAATCTGTTTCTGGTTGAGTTAATGTTGCTGCCCCCAAGGAGGAATGGGTCAGTGCTTATTAAGAGGAGCATTCCTCTCTGGGGACTGAAGTATTCTTGCCAGGTTCTTGAAACCCTTTCTGAGTTCTGGAATTGGTTAATTACAGATCAGAGCTCACGGACTCAAACTGCCTAAGGGCTCATCAGGGAACATACACCAGTGGATCAGCCAGGTGTTCACATATTAAAATGTTGGAATATTCCTCATATTCGCTAAGAAATATGTCCTCTCACATCTCTCTCAAAACCAAGTACTCCCTTCACCCCTGTCCATTTTCTCTTTTGCATTTTTGAGGAAGACAAAAATGCAGATAAAGATTTCTCTATCATAAGAAAGTAACCATGCACCTACAATGATGAGGCCTCAATATAGAAATTAACAGGGGGTGAGAGCAACGGCCTTATAACTGGAGTTCCTGCATCACAGGGAATGTGAGCCCGGTGTCACCAGTCTTATAAATTTTTGTTGTTGGGGGCGCCTGGGTGGCTCAGTCGTTAAGCATCTGTCTTCGGCTCAGGTCATGATCCCAGGGTCCTGGGATCGAGCCCCACAACGGGCTCCCTGCTCAGCGGGGAGCCTGCTTCTCCCTCTCCCACTCCCCCTGCTTGTGTTCCTGCTGTCGCTATCTCTCTCTGTCAAATAAATAAATTAAAAAAAAAATTGTTATTTCTTTTTAAGATTTTATTTATTTTTTTGACAGATAGAGAGAGAGTGAGAGAGCACAAGCAGAGAGAGCAGCAGAGGGAGAGGGAGAAGCAGGCTCCCTGCTCATCAGGGAGCCTGACATGGAGCTCAATCCCAGGACCCTGGGATCATGTCCTGAGACGAAGGCAGATGCTTAACTGCTTAACCGACTGAGCCACCCAGGCACCCCCAGGCTTCTAAATTTTCAAAAGAAGCTAGAATCTGGAATTTTATTTGACTTCTCAACATCATAAATGCTAAATTATTTTTCTTTCAAAACACCATAAGGGTCAAAAAAAAAAAAAAAAAGAAAACAGAGTTTGGTCTGGGACAGCCAGTTTGTTACCTTTCAGCAAAACAGAGAAATTCCATCCTGCTCACTTCTGGGATGATGACTGAACTCTCCCAAACACAATGGCCAGAGTGAGTGGAAGGCACTGCTGCCCCAGGGGTGCCTCGCCCTGGGTGGCGTCACTATAGCCCAGGCGTTTGTCACCAACACTTGAGCCATTGAGGCCCTGTAGCCGGCACCAGTTGAACCAGCCTCACTAGGAAGCCACCTTTCCAGTGGCTCTGGAGTAGAGCACACAGTACCTAAACTCAAGGACTGAGGTGGTTGCTGAGAATGAGTATCAGCACCCTCTGAATCATGCCCTGTGAGAGAGGAAACTTTGCCAGGTTTGTCCATGTTGCTCATGGGTTAGTACCTGGGGAAAGGAGACCAGTGAGGGCACTGAACAGGCCCCCCACTCCCCTGAGCTTTTATTCCCCCATCCCCACCCTGCACTCCCATTCAACAGCTCTTTAACCTAAACCAAACATTCCCCATCTTTGCAAAGCCCTTTCCTGCAGACCACTGAAGAAAATCTATAACCAGTGGAGCTATGCAATAGGAAAGATCATTTTCCTTAATCATCTTTCCACATACAGAGAAGGTAGGCCTGTTTAAGAACTTTGCAGCCAAATCTTCCTAGTGACCCCAAACAGACCACCTCTGCCACTACCACCACAAACCCTTAGGGTCAGCGTCTACCCGGCACTCACCCTGCTCCAGACACTATTCTGAATGCCACGCTTGAATCATCTCATTTAATCCTCCCAACAACTGGATGAGGTAGTTGATATCATTTTCATTTTGAGATGAAAAAACAGGCACAAAGGTTAACTGAATCACCCAAGGTTACCCAGCTAGTAACTGGTAGAATCTGGTCTCAAATGCAGGGACTGAGACTAGAGTTACAGTACCTCAACCATTTGGGAATCTGCCTCTCCAGGGAATGTGTGTGTGTGTGTGTGTGTGGAGGCACGGAGGGGAGAGTGCAAATTCTTCCCCAACTATCCTGGAAAAGTGAATGGTGCCTGGGGACCTGGGACAGGGGATTCCTTTCAAGGAGGAGGGGCTGAGACTCGAACAACTTGCCCTCCCCCAGATAAGAAGTATTAAAATCTTTCCCTTTGACTCCGAATCAAAGATATTAAAGGAGAAAGGGCCTTTGTGAGCACTAGTCCAAATCATTCCGTTTACTTTGGAAGCCTCTCTTTTTCAATGAGCTCGTGAGAGTAAGCCCCAAGATTCTGTCGCCTTCACCGGACACCTCTCCCCAAAAGGGGGACGGGGCAGGGGAGGTGATGGACATGGACAGGGAGAGATTTCAACGTGGGGGTGAGTCTGCCCCCAGGAAAATCCCTCCAAGATCCTGAAAAGCTCTGTCCCTTCCACCCCCGCCCTTTACCTCGTAGGTGCTGGTAATTCCCAGTTTGTAGAACACGGGGAGGAACACCTCCGCGCTGATGGTCACCACAAAGAAGTAGGTGATGGCAAAGATGCTGAATATGGCCCCAAAACGGTAGACCTCCGAGGGGGTGCCCAGGACGGTGACGGCCGACATGAAGCTGGCGGTGAGGGACAGGGCCACGGGCACGGCAGTCATTCTGCGGCCGCCCATCAAGAAGTCCTTGGAGGTCTGCTGGCCACCCCCCGCGAAGGCGTAGTAGATGCCGATGGCAGCTGAGATGAGCAGCATCCCCGCGAACACCACGTAGTCCCACACCACGAAGGTGCCGATGCCCCGCGTCGCGTCCATGGTCGCTCGGTCTCCTGGGCCCTGCGTACAAACTGTGGCTCCGCGACGCTCTGCCGGAGCCCGAGCTTTACCTCTGCGGCTCCGCGCTCTGTTCTTATTCCCGGCGCCGCTGGCGCGGCGGGCGTGGCGCCCGCGGGGATTGGAGGCGTCCTCCAGTTATCCGTCCCCCCACCCGCCCCGAGCAGCCCCGAGCGGCTCCGCGAAGGTGGGAAGGCGGGAAGGCGCAGTCAGTGGCCTCTGCGCGCACCGCAGCCAGCGCAGCTCCTCTAACTGGGACTTCGGGGAGCACCTCCCCCCCTCACCTGGTGCCGGACTCGGGATGGCCGGGATCGCGGAGCGCCGCGGACACCTGGGAGAACTGGAGCCTCCAGCTGCGTCCTGCCGCGAATCCGCAAGGAGCTCTCCGCCTAAAGGTTACCAACTGGCACCTGCGGGGACGCACCATTTAAATAAGCAGGCGACCTATGGGGGAGTGTGGGTCGAAGGGTAATTGTCACGCCTGTACTTTCAGCTTTCCAGTTCAACAGTCCGGGTCCTTAGGAGAAGATACACCTAGAGTTTTTAGATTGCCTTATTTTATAAATTAATGGGCGATTCTGGTGACAGTGTGCAGTGAGTTGATTCCAGTCCTTAGGCAGGTAAGCAATTACAAAGGAGAGGAAGAAATCTGTGCTATTGGGGACTGCCTTTTCATTCAATAAACATTTCTGATCCCCAACAGTCTCTCCTAAACATGACAGTTTCTGTAGTATTAATAAAATACCTACTATTAAGGAGTCTTATCATGTGACATAGAACATGCTTGGCACCTTGCACATTAACTACTGTGATTCTCCCAATTACCCTTGAAGTAGGAGTCATCTCTATTTTTCAAATGAGGGAACTGGCATAGGAAGATGAAAACACTTGCCCAAGGAAATGGTGGTAATTAAGATTTTTATTCCAGGTCTGATCTCAGAATTTGTTCTTCGAATCACATATTTTGTAGAGTCAAATGTAGATTGAGGTTAAATGTAGGCATAAATATGTACACTTAAATGAAGACACTTGAAAGCATATGGAAAACAAGATCATTTCCAGTCCCCAGGACATATTTTAAGTGGCTTATCTTGAAATATTACTAACAATACATGAGTCAGCCTTGCAAAGCAATGTGACTCCCAGGTTTTTCCTGTAAAATAGACCCTCCAGTTAAAAGTACCCTGGCATAGGTCTATTTCAGGCCACCCTTGTTCATTGTCATACATCTTTATAATTTATGAGGTGATCCTTGGTAAACAATCCACAGAATGCATTTAGCCCAACCCAGTATGTGAAGGAAGAAAGCTATGTCAGATTTTATTTTTTGTGAGCTGGCATTATTTGTATAACATTTTCATAGGGAACTAAAGAAGGAAATAGAAGCTAAATACAAGCAATTCAATCCTTTAAACAAATATGTGGCTTGGAATTAAGTCCCAGCTGTGTAAAATTTACTATCTTTGCACTTATGACTCTCTTGGACAGAGACAGCATTTCCTCCTGTTCTCACTGCCTGGCACTCAAACTCATCAGGAAACAGCATCTCCTAATCCCACCTGCTTTACAACCAGCTGTACTCTCTCACCTACCTTAGTCCTCTTAGCATGTTTATACTCATCTGTTGGCCTTCATGGTGGTACAGTATTGCAGTTGTTTTGATCAAGGCTCTTAATGCAGGAGTTATCTTATGATTTCCATGAGTCCAAAAGCAGCAAATGGAAAGCCATTCTACATGCCTGCTTCATTTTCCCCCTCTCTTTCTCCAGATGTGTTCTCTGCATTGCCACAGGTGCATGGTAAAAAAATGCCCTTAATTCAGTGGACCACAGAAACCCATTAGCAACTTTAAATTCTAATTCTCAATCACTGGGTGCTCCCTTCGGCAGCACATATACTAAATTTCAATCACTGGGAGAAGAAATCCATTTGGTGCAGCTTTGGTCACATGTCCCCAGACCTCTAATCCAATCATCCCTGGCCAGAAGGGCAGGGTTCTCATTGTGGGCTGCACGGATTCACCCTGAGGGTAGGGAAGGGGGACTAGTTCTCCACATAAGAGGATGGTAAGCTCTGCAAGGTGTCTCCTCAATTAAATGTCTGTCATTTTATTATCTCCTGTGGGTGGAACATAAGCTCCTTGGGAAAAGGGACTGTGCTTGCCCATCTTTGTAAACCTCCAGAACATAGCACTGTTTGTTGCCTAAAAAATATGCTAAACCTACTGCAGTGATCCTACTTTACAATGCTTGTTGGCATCCAGAATCTCCCCCCAAATTTCTAAAAGTGAAATTTGGAAATCTGAGAGTAAAATCTTATTGGATCCTGAATCTAGATTTACTCATATACTTATCTATGGGTGGTTTCTTCTTGTTTTTGAAAGGAAAAGTAAAGGAAAGTGTACTACCAACATAATTCTCTGCTGTCTGCCTATTTTTTACCTTGAAATCACAATCAGTTACTGGGGGACTCTAAGAATATCCTTCTGAATTGGCAAAGGAAGATAAAAGCACACGAGTCTTCCTCTACATGGTACTTTCTTAACATCCTTCCACCTAGGAACATTGAGTGAAGTTGGAAATTTCAGGTCAGTACAATTGCCATTTTGTCACATGGCTTGAGTTGGGAAAGATGTATATGAATCAGTACTTAGCATCTATACACTCACACACATCTTTTGTTTCTTTCTTATCTGGGTCTCACTCTAACCAACTCAGTGTTATCAATTCTGAGTTGTAGTACTAGGTACTTTTATTAAGTAATGGGATCAACCAACCCAATAAATTTAGTAGGAGAAGTTTTATCTGATGTTCTGGTATGCTTCCTGCTAAATAATAAGGGCTACGAAACTCATCATATTTCTCCTTCTCGCAAAACTGCCATAGCAGCTTAGTAAGGCCAACTTTTGTACTATCATAGCCCAGACCCTTAGCCTATACAGCCCGGACCCTTAGCCTAGTACAGATATTTCCCTCCTTTTGCTACTTAATTTTTGTTGTTAACGCCAAGTTTCAACCTTTCCTGCATATTTATCTTCTATTGCAAATAATTGCAAATCTTCTTTTGGATACAGAAAGTTATACACAAAGAAGGAAAACCATGTACTAGAATATATTCTTTGTGCATACACCAGTACCTCCTAAATCACCACTAACGTGGCATCAAAGGAGTAAAAAAAGGTGTCAGCACATAGGACAGAGAGAAGGCAAGATGAGATGATCGCCAATAAAAAGTCTGCCACAGTTTGGGAAGAATGAATGTAGATAGACAAGTGGAAAGTGACATAGGTTTCAGCTTTCCTCACTTGTGAAATACCTTAAGGAAAGGAAGCTGACAAAGCAATTTGTACAATAATACCCCTGAGAAAAGTCAGAAATCAGAGAGGCCATATACTTCTAAAGGTAGAGTAGGAAGTAGAATGAAAAACCAGCAGACTCATATAAGGAGTGCTTTGGGACTGGCAGTCAGGTAAGTGTCTCTCTTTTTTCCTGGTGGAAAACTACAGATACCTTCTGGAGAGGTTAAAGTAAAAAAAAAAAAAAAACTCTGGCTAAGGATACCTGTCACAGCTAAGCACTAGAGTGAGGCATTTTCCTAGAAGACAGGGATTAGAGAAAGTTTGTCTACTGAATGGCGAGACACCCTCGCTATCCTTTTCCTGCTAGTCTCCCAGCATGAGGACTTCCAAATTTGTATACTTTCTCAGGCAGGACTGGAGAGGATTTCTTTCTGAAGAAACCAAGCAGCCCAAGAGAATGCTGGCATTTAGGGGTTCTATAAAAAAGCAGGGCCCCCACCTGACCATTCTAAAGTGAGGCCCTTCCATTAATGAGACCAGCCTCCACACACACTTTCCTGCTGGCTTCTATTGCCTCTCTCCTTAATATGAATGGATAGTCAGGGATCAGTATCCATTAGAGAAAAACCTTTTGCATGAAAGACAGAGACAAAAACAAACTAGAAAAGAAACATTACAGGGTGCCTGGGTGGCTCAGTCAGGTTAAGTGTCTGCCTTCGGCTTACATCATGATCCCAGAGTCCTGGGAGGGAGCCCCGAATCAGGCTCCCTGCTCAGCAGGGAGTCTGCTTCTCTCTCTCCTTCTGCCCCTCTCCCCTGCTCCTGCTCTCTCTCTCTCAAATAAATAAAATCTTTAAAATAAAAAAAGAAACCTTAAAAAAACAGAGTCAATGCACGAAGCAAAGGGAAACCCTAGAAATCTAGAGTTACTATTTTCTGAGAAAACAAGGAAAATTCTGTATGTTGTGAAATGCAAAGAGTTTGCTATTAATTTCACAGAGGATAAGAAGGTGCTCTTGGAAATCAAAAAATATAGAAGCAGAAATTAACAATTAGTGAAAGGTCAGAAAATAAAATTGAAGAAACCTTCTATAAAGCAGGACAAAAGTACAGAGCGATGAAAAATAGCTAAAAGAAAAGAAATTTAGAAGTTCAATCTTGGGAGTCTAAAACATGACTAAAGGAATTCTAGAGAGAGAACAGAGGAAAGGAAATTATCAAAGGAAAATTCAAGAAAATTTCCCCAAATCTTAAGAACATGATTTTTTCTATTTAAATTCAATTAATTAACATATAATGTATTATTGGTTTCAGAGGTAGAGGTCAGTGATTCATCAGTCTTATATAATACCCAGTGCTCATTACATAACGTGCCCTCCTTAATGTCCATCACCCAGTTACCCCATCCCCCCACCCCCCTCCCCTCTAGTAACACTCAGTTTGTTTCCTATGATTAAGAGTCTCTTACTGGTTTGTCTCCTTCTCTGATGTCATCTTGTTTATTTTTTCCTCTCTTCCCCTATGATCCTCTGTTTTATTTCTTAAATTCCACATATGAGTGAGATCATATGATAATTGTCTTTCTCTGATCGAAATATTTCACTTAGCATAATACTTTCTACTTCCATCCACCTTGTTGCAAATGGCAAGATTTCATTTTTTTGATGGCTGAGTAGTATTCCATTGTGTATATATACCACATCTTCTTTATCCATTCATCTGTCGATGGACATCTGGGTTCTTTCCACAGTTTGGCTATTGGGGACATTGCTGCTATAAACATTGGAGTACAGGTGCCCCTTTGGATCACTACACTTGTATTTTTGGTGTAAACACCTAGTAGTGGAATTACTGGGTTATAGGGTAACTCTATTTTTAACTTCTTGAGGAATCTCCATACTGTTTTCCAGAGTGGCAGCACCAGCTTGCATTCCCACCAACAGTGTAAGAGGGTTCCCCTTTCTCTGCATCCTCACCAACAACTGTCATTTCCTGACTTGTTAATTTTAACCATTCTGACTGGTGTGAGGTGGTATCTCATTGTGGTTTTGATTTGTATTTCCCTGATGCAGAG